TGTGTAGTTCACAAGAAAAAGAATACTCACAGGAAGTTTGTACCCCTGGTAGTTATTAATTAAGTCTTGAATGAAGGGATGCTTCAAAAGGAGTTCAATTTTGATGGGCTGCAACTCTTCAGAGCCAAGATCCTTGTATACCTTAATGAAATGCTTCAAAAAGAAATGCAGATAGCTTACTTTATTAGAAAAATGAACCAACTGAAAAAGCAGCAAGCAATATATAGGAAGGCTGCTATAGAAGACAGAGATGTCCAGGGCTGAAGTGACATACAAGTGGCTCCTTTTTAATTTCATTCCTTGACAAATGACACTGAAGTAATAAAAGGAGTGACTTTTCAGGCCAGCACTGATTTTGCCACATGGCTTAATTGTTGCTCTGAAGATCTGATAGGAGAGCACATTTCAAATATCCATCACAAGGCCTGCAAATGCTTACCTGTTGCACAGAACACTGCAATTTTTATAATCCTGTAAGATAAATCAAATATCCATATTCCTGGAACTGACCGTGTCCACCCCCACAATGAAACATGCAAGTTCTCATGCAATAAAGGCCATTAGCGATAAAGACTTTATAATGTAATATGACACAATCAAGACATTTTGTAAGATATCCTTGGAGAGACAAAGCATGAAAATGTGAAACATATTTATTTCTCACAGCTTTGAAATGTTATTTTTTCTTTAGAAGTAAAACTGTCGACACAACTCTTACCATATCTTGTTTAAAGTTTGGTTAGATCATCACTGACCCAACAGAATCGCTTTGTTAATGAGATTCCAGTTGGGTGTCATTAATAAAAAGACTAACAATCTCATCCCATACATCTATTTCATTCTGCATGGCCCTAACATTGAGTCATACAGCTTCTCCATATGTGCATATACACGTTTCTCTTGTCCTGAAGGTTCAAGAGCCCTGATCTGACCATATTTCAGAAACAATACATCTGTCAGTCAAACTTACCCCATTTCTTTTAATGTTACATTAAAAGACATTGCTTGCCACAAACATTGGGATAGAAGAGCTATATGAATTTAATTAATGGACCTATTAGCTAGTTAACCAACCTCATAATTGTCCTCTTCTGTCAGATGACTACTAAATCTGTGATTGTCAGCAGCTCTATTTGTTTCATGCTGGAACACCTGAAGAAGTGTAGCCAGAGAGATGTTTCCTTCATTGATGATAGACGAGGCTTCATCTTCTTTCTCCTTTTCTTCCTTCTCTTCCTCCTCCTCTTCCTCCCCTTCTTCACCAGCCTCCTCATCTGGCTGTTCATCATGGGCAGCAGTGGTTATGAGCTGTTCAGCAGAGGAGACAAACTGGGAAAGACAAGCCAAAGTTGGCATAAGGCTTGGGGGGACTAGATAGTTTCCCAGTGACCAGTTGCAAGATGCATGACTCTCAGAAAGAGCATCAGTTTTTGACACATACAACAAAGCCAGCCAGAGTGTTGCAGTTTCCCTTTGGCTAGAAGTCATTCCTTCTCAGGTTCCTGCTCTTTGTTTCTCATGTTCAATAAGATAAAGAAATTCCGTACTGTGAGTTTCCGTTGTCTTTCACAAGGAGATGAAATCCAAAGTTCTGTCCCAAGAATTCTGAACAGCTTCCAATCTTTATTTTTAATAGGGTTAAAGTACTGAATGTTTCTCTGTACATATGAAACCTCTGCATACAAGCTCAAATAAATTGTAGAAGCCTTGCTATACTAGAAATGTCACTGTTTTTCAACCAGTTTAACTGGCAATGTACTCTTGCCTGCAGTTTTGTGAAATTGCCAAGGCACCTACTGAAACATGCTTAGCGTGCTTTGCAGAAGTAAGCTTCCACTTCCACTATAATATATTATCTTCAGTAATGAGAAGAAAGCAATATTTAAAATCAGTGATTCAATGGACTATTTGCCAGTCATCTGATTTCTACATTTGTTGGAAAGCACAGGCGGGTAGACTTCACAAATGGGAAGTTGTTAATTAAAGGCACATCAGTCCCCAAAGGATTAATACTGCTTTGTGAAACCGCATAGGCTGGCAATACAACTGCAGGGAATGGATGGCAAAGACAGAAAAGACTCCAGTAGAAGAGAATACATGTAGCTCAGGATTGAACTGATGGATTCTTGGTGCTCTCTAAGCTTGATTGTTTTCTTGCAGACATTTCATTACCAGGCTAGGTAACATTATCAGGGCATGAAACATGCCAAAACTCCTTAATCTCACAACATATGGACAGACTCAAACACAATTTCAACTGGAAAACTGTTAACATTTTAGATCAAGCCAAATCCAAAAATGCTAGGGAATTCCTAGAAGCTAGGCTTTGAAAACGCCAGATGCACTCCCAAGCAATGGATCTGAAACATGGACCTTCAGTTTAATTTAAGCGTAGTGTCTAGTCCTATAATTCAGGGGATTCTTCCAAAAGAGTTTGCACCAACATCCTATTTACCATCTATTACAATACTGAAATTTCATGGGGCTTTTCCTTAGCCAGGCTAGATGCACTGCCCTCAGCAGTCTTTGGACGCTATAAGAATATTCCTGTGCACCAGAGCTTTGTGGAAAGGGCTCAATGGAGCCTTTGAGCCATATGCTCCTCTGTTGTTCCCTTCTAGGATAACTCTTATCTACGCCATCCTTAAGCCATTTCTGGATAGAGAGCACAATTTTTATTTGTCAATCCTCTTATCTGATAAGAACCCAAGTATATCCTTACAGGTTGCCCAGTTTTGCACCTCTATGTGCTACAGGTAGTACACGGGTTAAGAACGCCTGGTTTAAGGATCACCAATAGTTAAGAATGAAGCCTACTGTAGCAAAATTCAAGTTAAATACACAATGGTTCAAGTTAAGTATACAATACTATTTATAACGAATTATATAATAACACTGTTCTGGCTTACATACAAATTCAACTTAAGGACAGACCTTGGGAACGGAACTTGTTCTTAAACTGAGGATTATCTGCATTTGTCTTACTTGTAATTCATTTGCTTGTTTGTATTTTATATATCATTTTATTCTATTATTATTGTACTTTTATCTCTGTAATTTTATATTCTATATTTCATTCTTATTCCTTATTCCTTATATTTACAGTTACTACTCGTTAATTGACATATATGTATATTTATATTCACTTACTATTTAGGTTTTATATCACTGTTTTCTGGCCTTATGGTTATAATAACATGATTTGATTTGATCTGAAGCTTGGCACTCAGACAAATCAGCCATCATAGACACACAGAGATAAACTCTATCTGCATATTAAAAGATACAATCCAAAGCCTAGGAAGGAAACAAACAGCCTAGAATCCATTTCCTCCAGCACCCAACACCTAGGGATGCAGGAAACAGTACCAGAGAAATTATCAGGGAATAAACAACGCCCTAATTAAGGAACCATCAAGGAGGAAGGCATACCCCCACCAAGACCGACAGGGCAAGCCACTATATAAAAATAGTCAGCAAACCCCAATCTCCCTCCCACTGATGATGTTACCTAGCCTGGTAATGAAACGTCTGCTAGAAAACAAGCAAGCTCAGAGAGTGCCAAGAACCCAATAGAAACAACATTAACTTTATTCTCAATAAAAATGAGAGAAAAGCAACACAGAACTGAACATAACTAATCAATATGAGTGATTAACATAAAGTCTGAATATGAAGCACTGCATTCTTATTACTATCTGGTCCAATGGTACATTAACTGGCCTTATGTATTATTTATTCTGTTTATTACTCATACATCCTGCCTTTCCTCCTGAAGCTCCATGCAGCAGATATAATTATAGATCAGAATAGGCTGGCTTTATGGAACAAATATATTTTTGTTTTGGAATTATTATTATCAAGAATTAATTTTTTACCATTTGAGGAAGAGAAAAGTGTTTCTCCCTTTTCCTCCGTATGTATGTCCCTGTTGCAACACTAAGGGCTCGATAGACACCATCTACAGCATTCGGGTGAGAGGCAAAATAGAATAGCATCTCAGTGTAGTTCAGCTGAGGAGGGTCTTTTTCAGGATCAGCAAATAAAGTGAACAAAAACTGCAAAAGGAAACACATTTCTATTAATTGACATATTGGATATTTTATTTAATCACAATTCAGTATGGATATGGCTAAGGTAGGTAACCTAGTCTAGTCGTTCTCTGTGTTTAGTAAAACATGTTTAGTAAAACATCATGATGTGAAAGCTTTTATTGACCACAGAGGACATTATCTATAGGCTCATCTAATGATGACCATAGCACATGGAAGATTGCATCTTGGCAGGTAAGAAGAATAAATGTTAAAAAGATGAATTAATCAGGGAAGGGAAGGGAAGGGAAGGGAAGGGAAGGGAGGAGAGGAGGAGGAGGAGAGAGAGAGAGA